GGGGGGGGTGTATAATCCCAAGATCTTTTGTCTGTTATTTCTATCAGTACTTGGAAGGTCACCGACAAGGAAGTTCGTTAACATCGATTTTGTATTACAATAATATTCTTCTTCTCAGTTTGTGGAAATGTCGGTAAAGCACATAAATTGTTTCAATTACGCCATACTCAGTAATTTGCCCTCTTCGTGGTCAACTGCGTTAATTTCGCCAAAATCAGAAATATAATTTCTTATTGATACAAATTTCAACATTATTTTATTTTGAGTAAAAATAGATAAATTGCCAGCGAATGAAATCGTGTTTCGGGAAAAACATTATTAAAAGTCGACGGTGAGTTGTTCACATTTTGTTATAATGCCTGTTGTAAATTCGTCGCATGGCCACGAAGTCAATGATCAAATCTAGACTCGAGATACTCTTGACGTGAAACGGATGTAGATGAAAAAGGCCAACTTAATCCAGTCCATCACCAAAAGAACTTGCGTCAATGACCCTGATTCTGAACAACGCTATTGAAAATAATATGCCCGCCCGTCCAAACTTCCTTTTTTTTTTCCAAAAAAGCCTCTGCGTCTAAAATGTATCAAATTAGCATTACATTTTAAGTTGGCTTTTTGTGCATATACATTTGTGACATTGTAAGAACAGTCTTTTCTTTACTATAAATTTTCATTTGTTATCACTTTGCTAACCATACGAGAAAATGAACTTGTGATTAGATTAACACAAAGCCTGTGACAAAATGGAACACATTGGCGACGAGTAATCTGAAACAAATGTTTTAACTTAGTGCTCTAAAATCTATGTCTAGCGTGTACATTGATTTACAATAATTAAAATACTCTAGTTTAAACATAATATTCAAACAAATATTCATTTTTAGAACTTATCATCTGAAAGACGTCACAATAAGTCACTTTTGTACGGAGCAAGAGGTATTTCGCAATAAAATTATGTTATTGCGCAAAACTTACCTGGCAGTGATGTCTTAAACTTGACTTTGTACACAAGAGCATCATTGTGTTTCGTTAGCTGAATATTCCAACTTATTTGATGTGCCAGTAATTTAGGTAAATCATTCAACGATTGTTTAAGCTATTTGACTGGATAGAAACTGTGGGGGGTTCTTTTGGTGCTAGGCATCCACATTAACCACCAATCTCCGATTGCGATGAACCGGAGTCGGTGGAAGGCCAAGAACACACTCTTTACGGCCAAAATTCATTAACTCAGAACTATCCACACCATAGTCCAATCCTCGGACTATAGTATGTAAAAGTGGGAGGGGTAGGAGGCAGTCGAAGAAATAAATAATTTCCATTATGTGTTATATACAGTCGTACAAGCTTTAGTACGAAATATAATTTTAAAAACCCAAAAATTTTGTTTGCTTTACTATATTTCTGAGGTATTCAAAATTTGATATGAGATGGGACGAAAAGAAATGGAGAATACTCGTTAGCATTTTGTGCACGCACCCGCACCGTTAAGACTCTAGTTTTATTCACCCTCCTTAAAAAAGGTTAAACTCGTCTTCAATCCATGTCGTCGTGGCTACCCGCATGTAAGCTCAACAGAGAGTGGAGATTCCAAATGTGCGTAGTTGGCCTAATGAGCTCTAAATCAAGCCCTCCTTTGCACCTTAATCCCCCTTCCTCCACCCACCCCCCTCCCCCCTCTTCAGCTCCAACTTCCTTGTCTCCCGTCCTAAGCAGTACTAGTTTCATACCTGCAGTACACACGCCTCCCTATAATACAATAATCTCATTGCACAGTAAAGTCATGCCAAATCTGGGTTCTTCGCCTCAG